TCCGAGCTTGGACTTCAGGCTCCAGGCGGCTCACGGGCATCGAGCTGCCGAAGGGACACAGATTCAGAAGATGGAGGGGGGATACCCACTGGTGGCCTTGGGTTGGGAAACCACCTGCTGCCACCCCTTCCCCACCTGCACTCCATGGGGACCACGTCCCCATGGTGCAGCACAGACCTTTGGGTCTGCACCGCTGCGTGTGCACAGGGACATGTGTGTGCACACAGTTTCAAGCCTCCGATTGCTCAAAGGAGCAAAAGCATCTTCTGGGAGTCAGAGAGCACAACAAAGAGCCCACGCAGACCCCGCCTGCACCCCATGCCTTGCCCCACGGGAGCCACACACGCAGGCAAGGTGCCCGTCCTTACCTCTTCTGCGGGAAGAGTGCGCAGCACAGTGGGGTCGCGAACACCAAGCTGCAAGGGAAAGACAGGGAGAGGAGAAGCTGGGCTGCATAAATCACCTGTTCCCACCCACGGCCTGACCCAAGAGCAGCAAGGAGGCAGCCCAGAGCCGTGCTGGGTGCTCAGCCAGGAAAGGGGTAAGGATGCCCTCTCCAAACTCCAGACCCTGCATTCAGCTCCTGAAGTGGGGCAGAGCTTGTCCCCATCAGTGTGGGGGAATGCAATGCTGAGCAGGAGCCCATGGCAGGCTTGAGAGACATCAAGATGGAGCAAAATAGCTCCCGGCCCCAGGACCTTATATCGCATCCCACCTGCGTGGGGGTGCACCAGCCCAGCCAAGCTCCGGCATCCCCCCAAGGAGCTCTGGGGTGGCTCTCGCCCCCCCTGCCAAGCAGACCCCCCAGCAGCACTGACCCCATACCTGGGCTCGGTCTGCGCCCGGGGCAGCAATGCCCATCGGTGGAGGGTGACTTACCAGAGTCCCACCAGGCCGACCTGCAGCGGAGCGTTCAGGTACGGGTACCGCTGCCAGGGACAGGGAGAGGCTGCACGTCAGTGGGGCAGAGGGGGCGGGAAGGTGTCTGTTCCCCAATGGGGTGCCAGCCCCGAGGGGTGCCAGCACTGTGACAAGCTAAGGGGGTGTCCCCCTGCCCACCATCCCATTCCCAGGACCACCAGTACCTTCAGGAAAGCTCTCTTCTCCAGCGCGTTCATGATCACAGGGGGGATGGCTGGGGGAGAGGGGAAGGAGATGAGTCCCCAGTGCTCACAGCCCCCCGCCAGCCATAGGACCCCGTCCCATGCTGCCGGGGACCGACCGGCTG